AATTTTTCTGCAGAACCACATGCATCTCGGTCAACTGTAAAAGCTGCATGGCCCGAGTTATGAAATTTTCCCTCATCCTCCATATTCACTTGATATCTCTCCTACTGATTATCATTTAATTAAGCATTTTGGTCTTTTCATATGCAATAAGACCTTCTCCAATAAGGAAGTAATCGGAGCATTTGAACTTTCACATCAAAAGATAAGAATTTTTTTTTTTAACGATGGGATCAAGAATTTAGAGGTACATTGAAAAACTTTCAACATTTCAACGAAAGAAATTAGTTATTTAACATTTCAGAAATGTTTTATTCATTTCCTATAAAGTGTGACAACCTAATATTTTGGTACTTTTTTTTTTTTTTTTTTTTTTTTTTAAAATTCAGCTCCACAAATTGACAGTGCAGCTGGGAAGTACATTTTCCATTGTAAAGAATTTTACTCTTTCTATAGGATTCCTTTTGAAAATGGGAATATAGATGCCTTTTTATTATTTGGAAAATGTCATCTGTTTTCCTATGATATCATCAATGTTCTTCTAAAATGTCTTCCTATGAGAATGCACTCAGATTCTCTATTTCAGAAAAACTATTCATTTTATTTTATTATTTTTTCCCCAATCTTTTCTCCTCAGAGATTGGCTCTTGAAATGTCACGTAATCAAACTTCTGCGAAGAAAAATGGTAGCTTAGGTAAGATTACACCATTTTCATATTTATTTTTTTATCTATATTTTCAAGTTGATACAAAATTATCTGGTACCATCTTTAGACAACATTAAGAAATTTTTTTTCTTTATTTAAATTTCTGCAGATATTTGTTTTGCACACATATACCTACATTGGAATGATAGTTTTTTTTTGTGGGGGGGGGGCAGATTGATAATTTTTAATAATTTTTGTTAGGGCAATTTTGTTAAAATGATCTAACTTGAAGAATAATTTTTTCTTTTTTTTTTTTTTCTTTACTATAAAATAGCATATGCTTGCTGTTGAAAGTACTTTTCTATTGCAAAATGTCTGACAGCCATTTCATAAAATGATTTTTAGGGTAGGAAATGATCTGTGGGTGTGGATGAAGTATTATTACCACTAATTACTAAAGTGCCCCCATGAATATTTTGCATGTTGTCATAATGTGAATGCACCAGATCTCCCCCTCTCTTATGAACATACGCACTTGTTGAAATGTTTTTTTGTTTTTTTTTATATTTTTGTTGGTGACTCTTCAGAGAATAAGGGTTGCAAATTTTTAATTTGCAGATTTACAGACTTGTGATAATCCTGTATCGCATCATGCCATTCTACATCCAAAACCAGTCCGACCAACTGTTCCAGAAGTGGACCATCCAAGTACAGATGTCGATGATGATGATGACAGAGACTCTGATTCCAGTACAGAATCTAATGAAGTATGTATTTTTATTTCTTCTTTATTATAAAAAAAAAAAAAAAAATCTGAATTTCTCTTTATCTTTGCAACATGACATTTTGGTAAAGATGTTAATAAATCCTGATTTTTAACATTTCCAAATTCTAAAATTATTTGGAATTTTCTTGCTTGTGGCTCATTTAAATTTAATTCTATGCATTTAGTAATTAATTAAAAATTGGTTTTGTTTGCAATATAAAACCTCACTCTGCGATCCTCTCAAAATGCTTAAATCCTGAACAATTCATTTGGATTTCTTTTCCATGTTGGATTCTGCTTCAGGTTTCATTCTTTTCCCTTTTATGATTTAAACAAGAAAAACATTTTGTGGTTTGCTATTTACACATTTACCAAACAATCTTTTTTAGAGAAAAAAAATTTCCAAAGTTTCATATTTTGCAATTCTTTCAAAGTTAGTTAAAACTTAAATGATAGAATAGTTTAATTACTTCCTAAAAGAAAAAACCCAAAAAACATAGCTTTGTTCCATCAATTCAAAATAGCAAGATATCAACATATTTGAATTTTTTAATACAATCAAAAACACACTTTTAATCTTTTTTTTTTTTTTTGCTTTCCAATTTATATAAACAAGTTAGGTCAAGTATTTTCTCTTGCTTTTATAGCAATGGTTGTCTAAACGGGATGTAAGTATAATGAATTTCCTACCAAATATTCTCTGCTAGCTTTTGCCATTTTTATTTATTTTTCTCATTCCTCCCACTCCCAAATGTGTTCCCTACCATATAAAATAGTTTTATTTCTCTCTTAATTCCCCATCCCCAATATCATTGTCTTCCTATTTGAATTAGCTTGCAATATTATTTTATAATAAATTTTGATAATGTTCTAGAAAGTTTGAAAATGAAATTATTCTCTGACAACTCTATTATTTTAATGTGTTCATTTGTACTCGCATTGAAGTAGAAATTTATTTTTATTTGCAACTTTCAAGAATTATACTTTCTCTTAAATCAGTTTTTTTTTTTTTTTTTTTTTTTTTTTGTCAGCTTCATTCCATAACCTTCTTGAAATATCTAGCAAAATTCTTTTTGTCCTATGCATCGTTTTAGGAAAGAAAATTAGCTGAAAAAGACGATTTCAGTATATTCAGACGTAGCTCACTGGATGAAAGTTAATTCAATCCCTGGGTCAGGCTGACTCTGTAGAAATGTACATTTAAGTGGATAGTCAGATTGACACGACAAGTTTTGAAATTCCTAAGAAAGGCCATGGAACATGACCAGTAAAAGAATGAGGACTGCAGCACATAATATATATCAAATTAATGGAAATTTACTCGATGTAACTTAGGCACCTGAGGAAGGCTGGAGAGTTTTGTAAACAAACCAAACAAACATTGTGATAAAGATAACAAAGATAAGGAAAATAGTCTGAAAGGCCAACTGCAATAATATCTTTAAGTTCAAACAAAAATTCAACTTATTATAGAAAGATAGTTATTTTTGTATTTGATAATTCAGTTTATAATAATGTTTATTGCATAAAAAACATTCAAACAGTTTTTGCTTTTGATAATGTTTCATCAATAGTAAAACTGAAGGAAGCTAATTGATTGCCATTGTTTAAGTATTTTTTTTTTTTTTCATTTGACTGCTGTAGAATGAAGTAAAATTTATTCTCACTTATATCTTCATACCATGAGTAGACATGCATATGTTGAAATAATAGGTTGTCACAAAATAATTCTATTTTTGACAAATTTCCTGTATTGAAATTTTTTATTTTTTTTTAATTTTTTTTTTTTTTAAGATATTGCTTATTTTTTTTATTTTTTTTTCTTCTTCCGTCAATCTATTGAAGGGTGACCTTTTGATGCCAATTGTATTGGTATTATCATGTGACTCTTGTGTCTCCTGATATTGTACTTGTAATTTTAAGTCCAATTCAGAAGGATTTTTTCTTTTTGAATACTTTTTTGCATGAACCCAAAGAATTCTGCTCCTAAATCATTTTTGGTTTCAGTTTGTGGCTGGATACTTTTTTTTTTTTTTTTTTTTTTTTTTTTTTTTTCCTTGTTGTAACTATTTTCTCTTGCCATCTCACGTTTTCTTTTTTTTTTTTTTTTTTTTTTTTTTTTTTGTCTCCAGAAATTTTGATTCCTTTTAAGCATTATTTTACCACATGAAAATCTATTTATAATCTATAATTCTATTGATAGTGGGTGACCTCTACCCTTAAATGATGAAACCAAAATTGAGAATTTTTTTTTCTTTCCGCATTCATTCAAAATACAAAATTCACAATTGTAGTTAAGATAATTATTTCTCATGAAAAAAAAAAAACTTCAGTGTGTGTAACAGATTTCCAGATAGTGTATCTGTAAATGAATAAAATGAATAGACAAAAGGAAAAACTATTTTTAGCCAGCACATTTTGTCCTCTGAGAGACTTTACCAGAACAAATGTAAATGACAATTTATCAAATGTATGAGTCCTCCACAGAAATAAATTTCTTGAATATTACTTGCTCACATTACTTTTACCAGACTTTGAATTATGACAATTTGTGTCATCCAAATGTTTTGACTGACCTTTCAACCACCTGATGAACACTCATGAATTTTCTCAAATTTAAAAGCCTTGATAAAACATCCTTGCTCTTGTATATAAACGCATGTAACTAAATGAATAATTGCATTTGCCTTGATAAAGTCCCTCGGAGGACAAAATGTCATAATTTTTCCTCTTGTCTCTTTATTCATTGAACTCTGTGATATTTTTTTTTTTTTTTTTCTCTCCCTAATGTTAGAATTTTTCTTTCTTGGGGTCTAAGAATGTAAAAATTGTCTGTAATTATTGTCCCAATATTTTTGATACACTGTGTGCTATGAATCTCCAAAGATTCAATTTTTTTTTTTATTATATATTTAATCCTTTTTTAGCACCTTCAAAATTTCGGTTAAGTTTTTTTTTTTTTTTCTCTCTCTCCCCATCCCCCGGTGGCCATAAATTAGTATAGGACATTTTTGTCTTTTTTGTGGTGAAAAACGAAGTTTGGAATAATTGTTGAATTTTAATTAAACTTTCAAGACTATGAAATTATATAATGTATGTTTATGAATTTATTGGGAAATGTGCAGTTACTGATGGTTATTTGGGATTATTGATAAATAGGTTACAATGAATAAAGAGCATGTAGAGAACAAGTGAATGCTGGTTGGGTGAAAGGCTTTTATTACTCGTACTTAATGAGTTTTCTCCCTTGAATTTGGATGTCAATTTATTTTTAATATTTTCAATTAATGGTCACATTTACAGAAATCTGGAACAAATGTTTCAGCTAAGATTTAAACTTGCATTTTATTTCCAGAATATTGTCTCTAGTTCTGCTTTTAATCTTTCAATTTTATAGCAGAAGGAAGTGCTGTGGATTTAATCCTAGAGATCTAAATATAAACAAACTGTAATTTTTAAAGGAAATTTGTCAACTGGTTTGTCATTGATTCATGCTAAGGTCATCACAAAAAAGTTCAGATCTGTTGAAACCTTACAGCTGCTTTAAATATATAGATGACATCTTCAGTTATACAAAATTGAGGTAAAAGTTCTGTTGGACAAGGTGAACTCTCTCTCTCTCTCTCTCTCTCTCTCTCTCAAACTATCTATACAATTCTTTATGGTATTGCGAGGGAAAGAAATAATTGACTTTTTAGGGTGTCATAGTAACCAGCACATAAGTTGGATATAATCCTACAGTATATTAAAATTGTATCTTTTACTTTTATTTATTTTTTCTTAATCCTTTTTCAATACAGAAGAAATAGTTTAATTCATTGGTTTTGATAGTGGGAATAGATCAGCTTGTTCTTTGTGAAACTAAAGGCCCAATGAACACCATAATATAAACTCTTTTTTTTAAGTAATATAACCACTTTGTGTAACTGATTTTTGTCACTCATGAAATTTTTTTTGATTAAAAAGTGCAGTTAGTGTTCAATATAAGTGTAAAAAGAGACCATCAAATAAAATAGACTATTGAAATGAATAGAAAAATTTATACCTGGAGGAAAGTATAACTAATAGATAAAAACCTGGAGAGGGATACTTCTATATGCTATGCCCTTTCAGGACGTTGGCAATCATGGCTCTGCACAATTTCCTGTTCTTTGTAGCTCTTAGTAATTTTCTTTTCTACCTCTCCTAAACCCTCTCCTGCTATCCATTTACACAAGCTTGTTAGGTAGGTTATATGCTGTTTTCCTTGATCCCCTTTGCCTTCAGTATGTCCTGTGAGTGTCAAAGTTTCCAAGCCCACTTCCCTCATTATGTGCCCTAGAATTTTCAACTTTTACAAAAAAAAACAAAACTCTGCTTCAATTCAAATCAGTGATACAAGATTTTCTCTTTACCTTTTTACTTTTTTTGCATTATTGAAAAAAGTCTTTCATATGGGTAAGTATGCCTAAAGAAGCTGTAGAATGGATTGTCTGAAACAATGTGGGGATAACAAACACAATAGAAAGAATGTGTTCAATTGTCTGGAAATCTATTTGAATCAACTGCAGTTGTTTTGATGCCAATTTCTGCAAGAGGCTGAGAAAGCAATTTTCATTTGTAATTAATTTCTCACCAAGAATGTTTAATTTTGTATCTTTATCTTTTGACAAAGATTCCTTATGCAGCCATTGTTGGACTATTTTTATCCAGTTCTTCAATATTTCTCAGAAAAGCCAGAAACTCTTTTTACTTTTTCCTGTATTCTAATAATTTTTTTCTCTTTATTGCTTGGATTTATAATATTTTCTTGTGTTGCCGATTCTTGGTGAGGAGGAGAAAGACTTACAGTAAAGATGCATTTATTTAATTTTTCTGACTTTAAGCTTTGTTTTGATCCATAACACTTGTGGTATAGACTGTGAGCGGAAATGACTTACCTCTACTTGATTGCTTTTAACCACTGATCTGTAGCTATACGGGTCCATTCCTGTATCACTTGAGAGGAAATTTGAAATATCAGGGGAGGTATTTACATTGCTTGACAATCCAGTAGCTTAAAAACATTTGTAATCATTTTTGTTTTGTTTGACAGGGCCTTAGTGAAATTGAAGAATTGGATGACACCACTGATGAGATTCCATATGAAAACCACACCTACAGCAACGATGAGAATGACATTGATGAAGAGACAATGTAAGTATCTTAATTTTTTTTTTTTTTTTTTTTTGTTTATTAAATGATTTTATATAGCAATTTAATTTCCTGAATGACTGCAGCTTGTTGTTGCTGGAGTAATGAGTCTGGCAAACTTTTTTACAGCTGGACGTGTTTCAATTTTCCCTTTCTTGAGATGCAGACCAGAGGAGTCTTTTGTTGCTGAGCAGTAGAGGAAGTTGTACGTGTTCATGTTATACTGTCAGCAGAAAATGAGTGAAAAAAATCTGGAGCAGTGGATTCACAAAGTTTTGTGAAGATTGCTAAAATTGCAAGTGAAATGGTAGCCTATTAAAAATAGCTTACAGTGGACATGCTACAAAGAAATTGTTTTAGTGTAGTACAATTGATTTAAGGAAAGATAAGAGGCAGCTGATAATGCAAGAAGTAGGCAGCCAAAAAACAAAACTGATGCAAATGTTTTTATTTGGAATTATGGGAATCTGTTTGGAAAAAAAAGGCATTCTGGCCTGACAAGTGGATTCCTTTATGTATGTTTCCAAGACTCAAACTTCTGGGACTTATTTCCAGATTCACTAGCAAAAAAAAAATACTGTAACATGGAAATAATGTAATGGATATAAAAATTCTTTATACAGACCTTAAAAAGCAAATGGCAAGCAATATGGAATACATTCCACAGAAAACAACCAACCAAGTGTCAAACAAGAAAACACAAAACTACTAAAAGGAGTGAAGAAAGGACACTGTGCTAACTAGTTTGTACTGGAAATACAAAACACTCCTGTACACCTGCTAAGAACTGAAGATGTACCTTGATGCACTATTGTAATCATTCATGGACTTAAGCACATTATGATTGGATGTAAAAGCTATCACCTTCAACATAGTAAATACAATGTCACAAGTATAAAAATATTGTTCAAAGATGTTGCTCTTTGCCAGATAATGGGATTTCTAAAAGAAATAGTTTTAAATTCCTCTTAAAATTGTTGGGGGGGGGGAGGGTATAAAAGGACTGTTTTCAAAATTTCAAATTGACACAAAGCAAACTATTTAACACTGTTAGTCACCTGAGATTTCCAAAAATGGATAGTCACCAAGCATCTGCCTCCCACAACAACTAAACTACAACTGCTCTGCCCTCCATGCTGCACACCCACACCGAGAGTAGTGGGAGGGAGCAAAATTTAAAAAAAAATTACTAGGATGCCTAGGTAATCCCAATTTCAGGTGCTTGCTCAGGAGTATTTTGTGTTTGTTCAACACCCACACAAACACCTGTGGTTTATACTGCAACTATGCTAAGAAGACCTTACTTACAGTTTCTGGAAGACTGTTATCTAGCATGATCAACAGTCTGAACAAGGCCGGCATGCTTATATATATATATATATATATATATATATGGCTAAGGATGTAACTGAAAGCATTTGGGACAATGAATAGTTTTTGTATAACAAATCACTTCCACCAAAAAAGTTATTAAAATTTTGCTTGTCAGTTATCTTTAACGAAATATATCTTCAACTGGATGACATGGACTGACCTGTAAAGATTGACACACCATTAAACAAAATCTAACCTAACATTTCTGGTGATTTTCAAAATTGAAAAATGTCCTAAATTCCAAGAATGTTTCCAGCAATGTTACTACTGCATGACTTTGCAAGAGAAGTTTTTTTTTTTTTTTTTTTTTTTTTTTTATAAAGGTGACAGCAGCCAAGAGTGACCAAATCAGTGAATTTTACTTTTACAGGATCATTCTGAAAATTGTCACATACATATATAATATGGTTAGTTTTGTTGCTACAGTAAGTAAAAGGCCATTTTGTCAACTGGATCCTTTTTCTCTTGTGTACCAGGTCAGTTGATAATGATGTTGGTGATAATGAAATAGAATCTCTGGCCACTGCCTCTGGAAGCAATAAAAGCAGACGATCTTCTCACAACGTTGCTGATAGCAGGTGTGTTAATGTTTTTTTTTTTTTTTTTTTTTTTTTTTCTTTTTCTCATTTAATTTAAAAAGGGAAGAAATGTCTTAAGGCTAGTTTTGAGCTTTTTGGGGTTTGTTTTTTTTTTTTTTTTTTTTTGTTTTTTTTTTTTTTTAATATTTAAAAAAAAAAAAATTAAAAATTTTCTAGACACAATTTTGTCCTTGTCTATATTAACAAATTCTTAATCTTTAAGTTTTGTTCTATGCATTGGACTTTTAAGATGTTTGAATTTGTTTATAGAATAAATTCTGAAGATTTCTCTAAATTTTAATTCTGAAACTGATGTTTGGAGACAAATAATTCAAAGGCTGGTTTTAATTTTTATTTATTTTTTTCCCTGTAACAATTTGGCTTTGAATAACATTTTTCAATCTTTCATTTTTAACAAGGTTTCAGTTTAAATAACTTGATATTTTCTTTATCTCTAAGATACCCCTCTGCCAAACAAAATCTTACATCCCAAATATAAATTTGCATAAACTAAAGCAAATGTTTTTTCGATTTTGTTTTAATCGTTCCAAGTTATTTAACTAAAAAATGCATTTATTTTAGTCATTTATTTAATGCCATGTTAATTCTTTGCAGTGTTGAACAAGATGACACCACATTGTTGTTTCAACTTTTGGGTGATCGTACAAGTTCAGAAGAAGGAAACTGGCCAACTAATTCTGCCATTAATATGTCGACAATGAACAATAAAGGTATTTCTTTTTATCAAATCCAATTTTAAGACCCAGAATGGTTGGGAGAGAAGTAAAGTTCTTTATGGAACAAAGAAATCGGTCGTTCTGAAAGTTAGAATATGAACTGAAATAAGTAAAATATTTTATTCTTCAAAGTTTTACCTTTAAAAAATGATAGCCTATTCTTTTGATTTAATGAGAACCAGTCCAGGCCTGTCACTCTTAATGGCAGTGCAGGCCTGTCGTACTTTTTACTCGTCCCCTTAGCTGATAAAGATCTGAATACACGTGATCCACTGAAGCTGCCATTTTCAAATCTTCAAAGAGTACCCCCCCTCCAACTCTACTGCATCTTGCATTATTAGCCACTTTTTACTTTTAGAAAAATAATGAAAATGTAGACAGAAATACTAGCAGCATCAATGTGTTGGATATTTCATGCATATATAGACAACATCATTATTATAATGTAACAAGTTTTATGAATTTCACCAGTTTTTTTTCCAATTATTACAGAAGCCAATTATTATGTATGTATATTGCTCTGTTCTTACATTGAGCTCACTTTGGATTTATATCCTCCTCAGAATTATCTCTACTAATCTTCAAGTGAGATAGAGAGATATATATAGATATATATATATATATATATATATATATATATATCTATATAACAGTAGGAGCCCGCATTGCCTGGGGATGTAACAGTAAGAGATAGATCAAGTATCGACCATCATAAAAGACTGAAAAATAAAATTGACAAAGATTATTGTTTAAGGTTCACGGACACGCATGTCTTAATTAGTTTTTTTTTTTTTTTTTTGTTACTAATTGGTCAAACTCCCAACAAAAA